GATTAATGACCCGCAACAGACACACCGAACCCTTAGCTCCCTTACCCCCCCCTTCTAACTAACTTTGAGACACAATAATAGAAACCCTTTTTTTTTCTCTTTGTAAAAATGTAAATATAAAAAAAAAACTGGGATTTTTGGTAGCAAGGCGATTATAATCTTATTAGAAAAAAGCGCCGTCGGTAGTAGACAAATTAGCTACCTATGATCTTGTCCCTTTTTCTCCAAAAAAAAAAAAAGAAAGAAAGAAAGAAAAGGAATAGCACCCCCCAACCCCCCTCTTTTTATTTGTTAATCAGTTTTTTTTCTTTAGAAAGAAGACACGAGACAATGAACCTTGCGAAATGAGGTCGGATATGTAGGAATTAGAACGCGATAGTTGGTGAAAAAGAAGACTGGTTTATCGGTATCCAAATAAGAAAGTTTCCCGGGTGTCCCTTTTATTGTTTTCTTTTGTGTCCATGATTTGAAACCTTTTGTCGTAATCAATCGGTCCCTATAGCTTTCTTGGGGAAAACTAGAGGCCGACATAAAAACCGCTTGAGCATCGTGGAGGAAATAGAAGCCAATCCCAGAAATTCAATATAAAAGTAACAAAAAGGCAACAAACGGACAAGCGAAGCAAAGAGACCTAGGAGGCAAAGAAAAACGACCCTCAAAAAAAAACCGCAAGTACGAAGTAGGAGAAAAGCAAAAAGGAAACAAGAGAAACGGAAACATTCAACCATCCATCTCGGAATTATCCTTCAGCAAACCCGGCGGAATCTGCCCAGGACGAATGGTATCCCGTCTCCCCAACCCTTCGGCCGTCGTATCTCCCTCATCATAAGTCATCCCATCGATCATCTTAGCATCAACTCTAGCTTCAGCAGCCGATGGTGTCGTCTGGTTCGACGCAGGAGAATCAGTGGATCTGCTCGCGTTACTACTATATCCGTAGTTTGGGATCACGATACCGTCTGGGGCGTTTGAAACTCTAGGAAGAGGGGAGACGGCAGGAGCGATAGTACTGACATTGTTTGTAGTAGCAATAGTGTTATTTGGAGCAATAGTTGAGATTGTGGGAATCGGTTGCTGCTGCTGCTGTTGCTCAAGTTGACGACGAGCTAGATAGGCCATGGTCTCTCGTTTGGCTTGGGTGCTATTCGGGCCTGAAGCTTCGCCTTCAAGGGAGCCATGTTCATCAGCGAGCGATGAGATGACTGAAGCAGATCCAGGGGTATGTGGGACAGAAGGCGACTCGAAATAGTCCTTAGTTGGAGCGTTGAAGGTTGAATGGTTTGGTGGAGCTCCGATCCCACCTAGACGGGCGACACGTTCAGCAGCAACGTCCATGTTCATATGAGGGTGGTGACCTTCGTGACCGTCCTTGATGGCGGTCGTGGAGAGGGTCGAAATGCCGCTGGCTGGAGTTCCAGGGTCTGAGCCAGTGTCGCCGGCGTTAGAAGGGGTGGAGGGTAGGTTCAGAAGTGTGGTTGCCATGATTGTAGTAATTCTAGTTGGATGTGTAGAATCAGGTTATATTCTAGAATTGCTCAAGAATATCGTTGGCTGTTGGTGTAGTTTGAGGAGAAGTGGTTAAGAGAGAATTAGTATTTCTATGATGTCAGAGGGAGATAGTGGTGAGATAGATATGGGTCGGCCAATTGGTGAGAGGGTTTATGATTGTCCAGGAAGCTATCCGAAGCATCTAGGGGTATCGAAAGCACTAGAGCGACTCACTAGATGGGATTGAGGACCAGATATTGGCGGAGGTGAGTTTGGACCGTTCTAAGAATCGAATGAGTCGAATGTTTCACAGCGGGATTGAAGATGATGGATGGAAGGAGGGAAGAAGTATGGATGGATGGATGGGTGGAAGGGTGGAAGTGTGGAAGTGTGTTATTGTGGTGGTGGTGTGATGGGTGGACGGATGGATGGGCTGCAATCCACCTACATACATGTATACAACTAACAACCAGCAAAAATTATCCCCAAATCAATCGATCTAGATGTTTCTTTCCAACTTCAAAAAGCCAGGTCTACCACTAGGGCATACGTGGGTCCCGCCGGATCGCTTGTAGGGATAAATGGGGCACTGAAACCTCTGAAACTGCGGGGAAACAAATATAACGAATACTCTATTCGGGGGTTCAAGGCTGCGCCTAGAACAAAAGCCTAACCGTCTACTGCTGGTAAAAAAAAACAAGCTTCGGGCGAGACACAAGAAAAAGATGGTTATGCAAGTATGTATCAATAAGACCTTTTTCGAAAGACGATACAGAGCAAAATGGTATTCTCCAAGACTGACAGCTTATTTTAAAGGGCGAAGAGGGGGGGGGAGTATGCACACCAATGCAATGCAGTTATGAGATAAAGAATGAACCTCGCATGCCACGCTCCGTTCCAAGTTGTACGACTTTCTAGCTAGCTTGTGGCTTTTTTTTTTATAAAAAAAAAGTTGGAAATCAGGGCCATCTCACGTAACGTTAACAGGGCATATGGCAGTACCATTGGCTCATACGCAAGCTGGATCAGGGTCTTTTTTATCCTGCGAGTTAGCATGCAGCCCGGTTGGTCGAGCCGTCGTACGATCGCAAGCATCACTGGACAATCACGCTTCCGTTTTGGGTGCGACTTGAGCAGTGTCGTGTGACGTCTGCCAAGCTGGAACCCCTGGTCCTGTGTCCTCTCGCGTAGTCTGCGGGCGTCATTAGCCGAATGGGTGAGGCTTTCATGAGCAGGGATTGCCTTCTAGGGTATACGAACATACACGATGATGAGATACTACGGGGGTATATATTCAGAATCCTACAATATCCTCTCCGTGTCTCAAGCACTCCATGTTGCCAAATTCATGACGGGACAAATCTTTAGGCATAGCTAGTTGTATGAATCGTATGGGAAAGGCATGGTCTAAAAATGCCTCCGCTCTAGTAGTGGTAGTAATAGTAGTAGTAGTAGTAGTAGTAATTAACCTAGAACAGGTAGAAGAACAAAGATACACAGAAGAAAAACGAATGTAATCAGTAATAAAAAAACAAGGTCACTAAGTCTTTATTTGTGCTGCGGTTAATAATAATCAAAAGAGAAACGTAGAGAGAAAGAGAAAGAAAAAAAGAGCAGTAAAAAAACATTATTCATGAGACTGCGCCAATGCCCGTGTTACTACAAGTGGAATATAAACCGAATTGCGCTTATGCTCGAGACAGAATAGCAGTGCGACAACAGGGACGAAAACCGCTTCTTCTTCTTCTTTGTACATATGTATATTCAAAAAGGACTATTTTCTTCACGCCACTTCCACTTTGCTTTTAGCTTTGCTTTTATTGTCGTTTTGTCATTATTTAGCTGATGCGGTGGTCTTGGGGAACTCGTCCGTCGACCATCCAGAGATATCAGTGTTGTTGTACTTAGTTGGCTGGAGAAGACCAGGGAAGGCGCTGATCTCGAGCTTGATGTCTCCAAGATATCGTTGACCCTATCGTAACATGTTAGCGTTGTACCATAGACGGAAATATCGGGAATGGGCTCTTTAAACTTACAACAACTGGACCGACAATCAAGGCAACAAAGAGAACGAGAAGAACGAAGTAGAGGATGGAAAAGCGGATGACTCTTCTCTTCCTGAGCTTGGATACCTTGGAGGAGTAGATTGGTGGTCGGATTTGCTTCGATGGTCTAAGCCAGAAGAGCATGACACTGTGGAAGCGGTCGGCGAATGGAATGATGAGAATTGGGAACTGAAGGAAGAGGATGAAGTGGCCCACTAAAAGCACAAGTTAGCATTTTCATTTTCGCATGTAAATCAAGACTTTTAACTTACGAATGCAGTCGGTGGCGAAGAAGCCCATCTCCGTAGTCTTACAGAGAAGCTCACGAGCCGGCTGGGACATAGCATGGAGACCAAGTCCGTACCATTTACCAGACCAGAAAGCGATGTTACTAGCATCGGTTTTGAACTCTCGAGTAAGTGTGAAGGTGATGAGCAACTTGTAGATAAATCTCTGGATGGCAGTAACGGCAACCAATCCGAGCATAGCACGGGCGAAGCTGAAGCCTTCGAGGAACCAAAGAACCTCAAAGAAGACGATCAACATGACAGTGGCGATTCCGTGAGCAATACCGGCGAGAACAGCACCGAATTTCTTGCAGCACATTGTAAAGATGGGACCCATACAACAAGCCATGGCGAAGAATACAGCGCAAACTCCAAGATTGACAACGATGGGGCCAACCGCGATGATGGCAATACGGATGAGAGAACTTGAAGGAACAGTTGTAGTTGCAGTCGGGTTTTTTCCAGTGGCCTTGGTGACACCAGTCTGGGCGTTGATAAACAGATATGGAATCAAAGTGATGACAACAAGACCCAATGGACCGATAACCTCGTTCCAGACGATGTTGGTGATCTTCGCCCTTGGAACGTCGCCAGAGAGCTTTTCGGATGGGTCACCGAGATTCTTTCGCTTGTAACCGGTGATTCTGGTACGGGATAGACGGCAGAAAGCAATCCAGGAAGAATGGTTGGCACGGGTGTTTCCGCGGGACAGCCATCTCAAGAAATCACGGTAATCAATGAAGAAGTCATTCCATGCGAACTGGTGCGGGTTGAAGAGGTATGGGCAGATACACAAGGCGAGCAATGAAGCCCAGAAATAGATCAAGTGTGGCATCCAGATCGTGACAGTGGCAAAGAGCAACATCATCAAGGAACGAGCACCAAGGTATATCGAAGGCCCGGCGAAACGGGAATAGAGAACACCGAATGGAATACGGGCAGTAGCGAAACCACGACCGGTACCGATGTATCGAGCGCCACCAAATGCCAAATTGTTGAGAATGGAGTTGGCATAGATTTGACAGACGAAAACTTCGAAAAATGGAGAGAAAGATCCAAAGTGCTTCGCAAGACGAGTGGTCGCTCTCCAAAATCCACGTTCCGCAAGTTCCTGAACCACAAGCGGCAAGAAGGCAATGGCAAAAACGATCATGATAGAGACGATACAACGTTGGACCCAATGGATGACAGGGATAAGTTCGTAGCAGCCGACGGGTCGACGAGGATCGGTGATAGGGGCACCTCTCCTGAATTCGCAGAGTGTGACTTCGTGAACAAGTGCGCCGAGGTTGATCAAAACCAACATGAAGAGCTGCACCGAGAGGATAATGAACAAGTTGTTGATGTGGAAACCTGGATGTGCGTAGAAGAAGGACAAGAAACGATCCAATGGTAGCTGAGTTCCGAGGTAGTAGTATTCGCGAGACAACATTTGTTCACCCATACCAGTTCCGATCTTGGTTGTGAAGTTAAGAATCGAACCAAAACCCAAATCACGACCTTTACCGCACTGGTAGTATTCGCAATGCTTGATACGTCCACCACGAAGCAAAGCATTCATACCGGCGTAAATATCTTCGTTGAGATGGAGACCCTTTTGAGCCTTCGAGACACCACCACGAGTCGTCATGAAAATACCGTTCAAGAAATCCGGATGTCCGTAATGGAGCTTGCCACCAATCTGAGCGAGAGTTCTAGCGAAGAGAGTACCGAATGTTTGTTCCTTTCCGGCGGCGACGTCACCCAAGATACCGATGTTCTCGGAGAAAATATATTCACGAGCACCCAAGATAGCGACAGGATTGAATTCTTCGGCAACACGACCAGGAGAGTACGGCGAGACATTATCAGTGTGCATCTCCTCGAATTCAGCGAGAACGCTTCGGATCTTGAGACATTCCTCGAGGTAGTTGTCCTGGTTGGCGTCGATAAGCTGGATGTATTCACCACGGTAGAAGATAATGGCATGGTTTTGGTTGTCAGATTTTCCATCACCGAGAATTGGATTGCCAGAGAGCTGTACGCGGAATTTGGGTCTGCGCATTCCGTTTTCCATGAGTTCAGAGTGTCCATCGATAAGAGCAGAGTAGATTCGTGGTTCGTCGCCCTCGTTCTCTGGAGGTTCCTCGTCAAGATAGGCGATTTGAAGGTCGGGGTAAGCGCGGAGTAGGAATTCGGTATTCTCCATTTCTTCTTTCTTGAATTTGGCATAACGTTGCATAGAAACACAAATCTTGTACTTGCGTCGGGCCATACGCTCCAATTCCTTTTCGAGTTTATCAGTGTTTCCTCCAAACATCTGGACGACTTCTGGGTTCTCAACGCGGTAAAGAAGCTTGATCGCACGGCTGTAGTTCATGAAACCGGAAATTGTACGGTAAAGAGTCTGAGACCGAAGCGATGCCCAGATACGTGTTCTGAGCGTATACTCTGGGGCAGCGGACTTGAAACCAATGCAGTAGAAGGGGAGGTCATCAATCTTGCTTCTGACGGTATCCTTTTCGTTCTTATCATCGGTGTTGGCCATTTGGGAGGTTTCATCAGCGAGAATCTTGGTATCCTTGACGAAGCAGTCCCATTCGTGGGGGTGAAGCTGCTTGAGATACTCGAGAAGGGTGACACGGGAGTACGGATCATCTTCGCGAATGATCTCACGGAGGGAGAGAAGAATCTTTTCGGAGTAATGAGGAATGAGGACGGTGAATGTTGGCATGTTATCAACGGGGACTGGTTCAGGGATGGGAGTCGAAAGTGACTGGGCAAAGAAGGAGATACGACGCTCAGCCTCGCTCTGGCGCGGGAAAAACTCTGTCTTAAATGAGTGATCTTCCTGAGAGACGAAAAAGGTGGGTGCTCGTAATGTTCTCTTGCCCTCTTGCTCGGATGGAACCTGATGATAGAGCAGTTTCTGGACGTGATCTATGGCCAAGAGATGCTCACGATACATCGATATGACAATTGCGTTCCAGACCTGGCTGATGAGAACCTTTGGCTTGTACTTGATCTCCATGTCTGTTGTAGCAAGAATCTTGGAGTAGATACGCTTCGGCAGACGGGAGAAGATGTTTCGCCAAGGACTCCAGATAGAGACACCGAGATAGAAGGAGCGGAAAACGGAGAAGATACAGTTCAAGATAATGTACCAAAGGTAAGTATCAAGGAAGAACAGGATCATGTTGGTGAAGTACATCAAACCGAGCAAAATCTGCGGTTGATATGTGCAGAGAATGTCAGCCGATGCGCCGAAAAGAGCATCACCAGAACAGAGCTTGACCGTGAGGAGAGACAAGATACGAGCGGGATCCTTGATGTTAAGGGCCAAGAAATAGTAGGACTCGATGAACTTAGCGAAGAACACGAGAACCCACAGACCGTAAGACATCCACATGTCATTGCCCTTGAGACGGGGGTAACTGGCTGTGAATGTCTGGCTGGCAACATAACGGCGCGAGTTCTTGCTCATGTAGCTTCCGAAGAGACCTCCGATAGGCATGATAGAGAAGAAAGCGACGGTGGCCACAGCAACAAAGAATTGAACAATGCCGAGAACCTTCGCGACCTTGGTAGATTGATCGAGAATGAAGAAAATGCAAACCGAGGGTGCGACGTTGATAACCAAAAGGAGGATGATGAAGGCAAAACGACGAGACAAGTGCTGAGCGCCAGCCCATTGCCGCGGTACGAAGGCCCATTCCGAGAGAGTTGCGATTAACATGATGATACAAGCGACCGTTCCACCTAGCGCGACTGCAGACCAGTAAGCAGCCTCATTCGGTTGGTTGTTCAGGGTGTAGACGTAATCCTTGGTGAAGAAAGTTGCAGAGTTGTAAGCTGTGAAGAACCAGTACATGGAGATGTGGATGACCCAGATACGATTGAAGTTGACAGCCAAATGCCACCACGACCGGATCTCTTTATATGTCTTGAAAAAGACTTTCTTCCAGTTAACTTCCTTGAGTTTGTGCCATCGAAGATGCGAGGGAACGTCGACTAGACGGCTCTTATCCTCTAGAACGATGCGCTCGATACCTTCAGGATACCAGAAGAGTTGGTTCATGTCATCGTAACCGATAATATTATTATGGTCGCGCTCTCTCCTGACGTACTTGCCATCGACGATCTCGTAACCTTGATCACGGCAATATTGGTAAAGAGGTGTGACGATTTCCCTTAGGTAGGTACCTTCCTCAACAGGCTCTGTTTTGTTCTGACATTCTGCGCTCTGGTAGTAGTCATCCGCACATTTGAAGATAAAGCAGAGACATTCAGCCATAAATCGGACCTGGTTGGCTTCACCCCAGCAGAGGAGGAAAAGAGCAACCTGTCGGACTCGCTCATGTTGGGACATTCTGTTCATGCGAGTTTTCCATCTGTACTCGGCGGCTTCGAGGCTGTTGTCACCCTCGAGTTCTTCGAGAGTTTGTTCTACATCCTCAGGATTCTTATTCTTGGCTGCAGCCTTCCGCGCTTTCCTTGTTCGGCGGTCGGCCTTTCCGAGCTTCATGTTTGCAAAACCGACAGCATCGTCAAGGTCGAGATGAGCAGCAAAGTACCATTTCCGGTAATTGGCGTTATCTCCTCCAATGTAGTCGGCGTGGAGGGTCAAAAGAGCTTGGTTGGCAGTCATACGAGATGCACGGGAATCCAAGAGTGTCATAAAGTGGTCGTACATGTTTCTCATACTATCTCTCTGGAAACCAAACTTGGCAGTAAGGTCCATAAAGATATCTTCGATTTCCTCCTTGCTCACGGGAATTTGGTTTTCCGCAGACCAAGCTGGATATGGCTCCTTGGAACGTTGGCCGAGCGGGAGAGCATTGTAGTCGATGGGATAGTTTGGAGTGGAAGCACCAGAAGAACGGTTTCCACCGTATGAAACCTGGGATGAAGCTGGTCGGTAAGCCCGTCGGCCATCTTCCTGATAACTGTTGTAACGTTCATCACCACGTCCGTAGTAATCCATTTCTGCAGCTCTCGCCATGTCGGATCTCATTGTAAAATCGCTAAAGGTTTCGGATTCTTCCTCTGAGCCGCCGCGTCGTTTCCCCTTGGGCTGGCCTCCCTGGCCGGTTTGATCGTAGTCATAACCATCGCCGTAATACCCCTGATCGTAACCTTGGTTTTGGTCGTAATAACCGTCCTGACCATCCTGATAAGGATGCTGACCAGCATTGTAATATTGACTACAAAGAAAAGATGGGAAACGGGTTAGACGATATTCAAATTGTGAAAGAAAAATGGGTTTCGATTGAAGTTTGGGAGAGACAATCATACCCATCTTCATAATAATTATCATTCTGGTAGTCGTATTCGCCTTGGTATTGGCCATGCTGGTCGTAGCCACCATGTCCACCACGGTCATCGTAATAGCCGTCCTGGCCATTACCGCCACCGCCATGCTGCTGCTGCTGTGGTTGTTGTTGCTGAGGATGGCCGTAGCCATCATCATAGCCTCTACCGTGACTAGCCATGGTTCATGCGGTAGCTGCTCGAAGGCGAAGGCTCGCCCTATGATGATTGGAGGGAACAGTCAGCGTTGAAGTTTTTAATTTACTTTATTTCCACCGAAGAAATCGATAATTATTAAGAGTGTTGGGGAGGAGAGCCGTGAGGAGGGAGATCGACAACGGGCGAGGTGGTTCTTTTTGTCTTACCTCAATTAGGCTCGCGTTGGCTGGGAAGGAAAGAAGAAAAAAGGTCGTGGCAATACGTCAAGTGCTATTAGAGATTAATCGATCACGCTTTTTTTCGGGCTAAAGGGATGCGGGATTCGTGGTAAAAAATGTAGTGAAGCGCGGTGTGGTGTCGTGGTTGCAGTATTAATACACAATAAATTTAACGACGGACGCTATTGCCTGAAGGTAGGGAAAAATAAGAGGAAGCCGTTAGCATTACTTAGAAATAGAATGGAGTTGCATGCATGCAAGATCGGATCTGGTATCGACCAATCAATCGATATGAATCAATATCGTGAAGAAAAAGGAGAAATGGTGATGGCGGGGGGGAGAGGAGAAGAGAGGGAGGATGAAGAAGCAAAAGAATGGAGAGACTCCTGCTCTCGGTTGGTGTTGTGCTAGAGCCGAGGGATGGGATGGGATGGGATATAATTAGATGTGGGAGTGGGTGGGTGGGATATGCACTGTGGATGGCATCGACATGGAAATGGACTGGACACGGAAATGGCCTCGAACGTGTGTAGTGGTGTTTACAGTAAACAAACACACACCGGCCGATGCTATGGAAAAGGGGACCTGTAGACCGTAGACGAGGCAACAACAACAAGAAGCAGCAAACTTCCAGCAAACCGAAACCCAAACCCGAAGCTTGGGCCGGTTCCTTATTTTGCGGGTGGGTTTAAGGGGTTGGAGGGTAATAATAATAACCAGAAGGGAGTGGAGGTTGCACAAACAGGAAGGAGCGTGTGAGTTTATTACAAACTTGAAACTTTGTTGGTGATGGTGATGATAATAATGAAGGAAAGAATAAAATGAAAAATGAAAAATGAAAAATGAAAATGAAAAACTAAAATAAAAATAAAAGAAGAATAGAAGGATAGATAGATCGGTGGATATTTAGCTGCAAATGAAAGGAAGGGGATGAAAGGTAGATGGGAGGGAAGGTTGGGACCAAGAGAGAATTAAGAAGGACTGGGACTACCTTCGTCGACCAATGTCTCGAAGTCGGCTAACGATAACGAGTGAAAAAAAAAAAAAATGAAAAAAAAGGACTGGTCTGATGCAACATGCACGAAAGTCCCATATCGTTTAGGTAAAACAGCGAACGAACGTTAACAGGAGCTTTCGTCGGAGCTTCGACTTGACTTGAGAGCGAAAAAATGCAAGGGCCCCAAGCAGGCTAGACACTCCTATTTTTGTTCGTTCTTGGGGGTTTGTCTCCTTTCAAAATGGAAGGCCACCGCCGGCTGGGTGGGCGGATAAGCCACACGCTCCAACCGAACCAGCGCAACAAAATGGAGCAGGTTTCACCCTGCCCAATCAATAACCTCTAACCCAAAATAAGAAAAGGGACGGATGGAAAAAATGTGGCAGGCTTGTTTCCAAGAAAAAGGGACATGACATGCTCGAGGACATCAACGTTGGAGCTCTGTTCACGGAAACAGCTTGCGATTCTTTCCATCTTCCTTCTTTGGAGCTGTCACAGAATATAACAAATGTTATATTCTGTACAACAAAGAAGGAACCAAAGAAACATAAAAGACAAGCATTTGACCATTAAATCTGGCGCCTGGGCATATCATGTCCTCATACCTCCATAGTAGACCGAAACTACCTCGAATGAATACTCAGGGGGGGTGCAGCGGTGAAATGTAGAAGGGAAACGCGAGCCGCAACAAGCAGCGTTTCAGAATGAATGGGAAATATGTACTTGCGTACTATGTATGTATGTATATACTTATATATACTACACTTAAGCAGATACGACAAAGCATCAAAGCATAAGCACCTACCCAAAAGATTAACAGTTCTCTGTTCCTGTCCAACTAGCGTTCGACGCAGCCGTAGGCGCCGTCTCGAATATTATATAACGATCGATCGTGTATTTGTTTTACAACAACACTAAGGGTTGCTGATAGGTGTAAATGTTGGGCGTCAAGTAAGGAATGGACGATAAGTTTCGACGAACAATGATAACTCTTGGTCGGAATGCTGCAAAAGGCGGGAAGGAAGGTTGTCGAAATGGTATTCCCGTTGGCTAATCCCCTTTCCTACACGTACCAGCGAAAAAAGAGGAGACCGGAACGATTGAACGGTTCTCAACCCCAAGCGAATGTCGAAACAAGATCTACGTCAAAAAGGAAAAAAGCGAAAGCGAAAGGGAAAGAAGAAGAAGAAGAAGCTGTTGGTTTTTTGTTCCCGTCAAACGAAAGAATTCTGGGAAGGAAGATGTAGAGAAAAGGAAAAGAAGGTGGAAATAAGAGCAAGAGAATTAGAAGGAGAGGAAGGGAGAAACTTGTACGAGAAAGCGTCCATGCACGGTGAGCTTTCGTAACCAAAGCTCTGGGCACACGAACCAGACCAGGAATCGACTAACCCCCGTCGCTGGGAAAGGGGAAAACCCACATACAAAACTACCAGGGCAGAAAGGATGCAGCAAATTTTCTTACTGTGGACATAGCATCTAGCTTTCTTTCCTTTTCCTCAATCGCGTGTGTGCGTGTTAATTCCTTTGGGCTTCAAGCCACCATCCATGGGGGTGCACCCATGGTCACCGGTGATAGTGTATAACTAACACCGTCAGACCTGTCTGCGACTCCTATAATCCAGCGCAGCTCATCATTATTCACCGACCCACTGAATGCCTCGCGGGAACTGATTAGCTCTGTTAAGAGCCCCCCCCGTTCCGGACCGGATTCTGAAGTAAAATCCCAACTACTTTAGTAGTTAGCCCAGGGGATTCAATGCATTTCTCAGCAGAAACTAAACATTTAAACGTCTCGAAGGATGCTTTTGCAGCTGGGCGAAGCTGTCCCCTGAGGCTTTCGACCAATACCCCTTATCAATACCAGACGGGCAAGTCTACCAGAAAGGCTTTAGGCCTGCGGATGTACCGGATCCCTTGCACCCAATCGATTAATTGGAGATTCTGCTGATGGCACAGCACAGCAGCACACAGCACACAGCACAGCGGGCAAACCAGCAGCAGAACGAGGTGCCGTTTCTTTTCTCCGGCGTTAACCAATTAATCTATTTTGATACACCATGCTCTAGACGGTTAAGACCTGGTCCGTTGCCACCTAATTAGTGCACTGGAAAGGTGAAGATCCGGCCGATTCACGTCAAAAAAGTCTGTGCTATGTATGCGTGGACGAGGGTGCATCGGTTTGGAATTGATTTCCTAGACGGCACGAAATTAACCTTCATTTCTGGTTCGTCTTTCGTCGAAAGGTCCACGAGATGTTGCAATTGGGGGGACCGAAAAATTAAAAATAGAATATTGATTTTTTTTGCGCACGATAATAGCCTGGTACGGGTTTGTTGGTGTGTGTGGCGTCACCTGTACATCGTACCGTTGGCTCTTGGAAATTTGGATCTCGCGAGTCGGATGAAAAAGCACAGAGCTCAAGGACTCCGGAAAGCAAGCTTTTTTTTGACGGCATCTCTTTTTTGCGGATTTGATGCGTCTACCACCGCTACCATAAAGGGTGTGAAGAATTTCGAAGGAACGACGTCAATCATGAACCCCCAGCGCGCAGAGAGAGTGATAGTTAGAGTTTTTTTGTTTCTTCCATGCACGTCTGGTCACCGATATGCATGCAGTCGATGCGTTTTTAATTTATACTTGGACATGGGTGCTTATCAAGGAAGAAGGTGTTTGATCGAAGCGATCGAAACGAAATAGTGGTTGTTCGACATGCCGCCATCCGTCGAATCAAGCCATCATCGACGACATTAATATAGCAGATGGCATTAATGGCCATTACGTCGATAGCGACATGTCGACAGGAAAGTTGTCAAAAAATATGCATGTTCAAAGTGGAAAGGCCAGGTATTCCCGGTATACTGGGTATGTTAGGTTGAATGGGATTGCTAGAATGGGTAGTAACGAAGAACCCCCTCGGCTATGCAATCTCATAGGTCGTCAAAAATTTGAATAGAATCTTGAATTTGTTCCTTGGAAGAAGAAAAAAAGTTAATTAGATTGAATTGAAGAGATCGAGCGAGAGAGGATGCATGTTTGGCGGTGTGTTGAGCAGGTTGTTGTTTCTCTTGGAACCCGGACAAGTCTCGACCAAGACAACATCGCCATCGAGTACTAATGCTGCCTTGCATTGCCGCCGTCAGGAAGAAAAAAAAAAAAAAAATACAAAACAGAAGCTAAAAAAGTACGAATGTACAAAAGGCGAGTGGAAGCGAGGAAACAGAGGTGGTAGAGATATCCATCCGGACCGATTGGATGTTAATGTGATACGAAACATGCGCCGATGAAGTGTGAGAGAATCTCTCCGAATGCTTCTGTGACATGGTCTATTCCCAAAGCAGTTGGTGGTGTGTTTCCCCCTTTTTTTCTTTCCTTCTTCGCTTTTTTCTTTTTATTTTCTTTTTTCTAATGGTCTTCCATGTAGGTTGTACACTGCCTGCCAGGAACAGGTTTGAGAGATGATGGTGATGTGCATAACATAGCATAACATACCAGAACTACATGATGGATGTAACAGATTCTCGATGATAGAATGCATTAGTAGACTACTAAGTACCTAGTAGTATAGATACTAGAAGATGGATAGGGGGATATATTTGGATCGATCATCAAGTTGTATACATACATACATACCACCCTCCCATACAACATCACCAAGAAGTATCTAAATCATATACAACGTGGATAGACGGTGATCATGCCATGAATGCCACGCCGTCGCCATGAATTCTGATCACCGCTCGACAATCCACACCCGTGACATAAATTAATGATTATAATTTATTAAAAAAATATATATAATTTAATATCGTTGAAGAAATGAACATCTCGACAACCCCGACCGGTGAACGAACATTCGAACGAATGGCAGCAAAAGACCCAGCTGGCCGAGATGCTTGTGTCATGCCTGCGAAGACCTACGAGATTAGGCCCAGCGCTGCTTGGAGGAAGGTTGGAGGCAGTGAGAGTGGTGGACAAGAACGACAAGCGTCTCACACAGCCCCCCATCCCAATCATATCCTATTAGGTCCCAGTTAGGTCCCAGTTGGGTTTGATCAGTTGAATTGGGTTTATCCTCGCAAAGTAGCATGAGACTTCCCCTTTTTTCCCTTTTTAAACGCTCTGCAACGACTTGGCTCGAACACAAAACCCTGATTGTTCGCTCTCGTTCGTTTGACATTTTTGACACTTCTCTTCCGACGCTCTCTAACTCTCTCCGCTATATTATTATCTTCATCTACCAAACTTCTTCTTTTTTATTCTTCTTTCTTTCTCCACACTCTCTCATTCAGACACTCGTTGCACTTCTTTTTTTTATTTTTATTTTTATTCTATTTCGTTACTTCGACTTCATTCGCTCCCAAATACACATCCAACTTTCAAACTTCACGAAATCGTTATAAACAAACAGAACAACAAACACAACAACAAGAAATAAAAAAACCAATTCTATCTTTTGATTTCTCCTTTTAGGCCGTCGAGATGAAGTTCACATCTGCAGCTGTTGCTGCCCTCGGTCTGGTAAGCAGCGTTTCTGCTGCTGCCTTCAAGAAGCGCGCTGCCACCGATCCTATTGTCGTCAAGGGATCAAAGTTCTTCCACAAGAACTCCGGTGAACAATTGTACGTTACACGACATTATCCCACTTGAACACAAACATATCAGTACTAATATATAACCGTCGTATAGTTTCATGAATGGTGTCGCCTACCAAACAGATCTGAGTCTTGTCGATGCCTCTGACCTGCCAACCGGTCAACAGTTCGTTGATCCTCTCACTGACATCGAGTCCTGCAAGCGTGACGTTCCTCTTCTCGAGGCTCTTCACACCAACGTGATCCGTGTCTATGCCATCGACACCACCAAGTCTCAGGATGCATGCATGAAGTTGCTCAGCGACGCTGGCATCTACGTTATTGCCGATTTGTCAGAGCCCGGTTTGTCTGTCAACCGTGATGCCCCTGCATGGGATCACCACCTGTACGAGCGTTACACCGCTGTCATCGACAAGCTCCAAAAGTACGACAACGTTATGGGATTCTTTGCCGGTAACGAAGTCACAAACAACAAGAGCAACACCGATGCCTCTCCCTTCGTCAAGGCTTCCGTCAGAGATATGAAGGCTTACATCAAGGAAAAGAAGTACCGTGAAATCCCAGTCGGTTATGCTACCAACGATGATGAGTTCGTCCGTGATCAGCTTGCCGACTACTTCAACTGCGGACCTGCTGAGGAGTCTGTCGACTTCTGGGGCTACAACATCTACTCCTGGTGCGGTCAATCCTCCCTCAAGACCTCCGGATGGGACAAGAGAACCGAGGAATACGCAGACTACAACGTTCCCGTCTTCTTCGCCGAATACGGTTGCAACGAGCCTTCCCCACGTAAATTCACTGAAGTCCAAGCCCTTTACGGTGACGAAATGACCCCAGTCTTCTCCGGTGGTATCGTCTACATGTACTTCCAGGAAGCCAACAACTACGGTCTCGTCAAAGTTGACAAGTCCGGAAAGGCCACCAAGCTCTCCGACTTCAACTCCCTTGAAAGCCAGCTCGAGAGTGTCAAGCCAAAAGGTGTCAAGATGAGCTCCTACACTCCTTCCAACACCAAGGCCCGTTCTTGCCCAGCCCAAAGTGAAAACTGGAAGGCCTCTGCCGAACTCCCACCAAAGCCAGACCAGCCCACCTGCGAGTGCCTCCGTTCCCAATTGACCTGCATCCCAGCTGCCAACTTGGCCGAGAAGAAGTACGGAGACATCTTCGGCTACATCTGCGGACAGCTCGGTGAGGGCGGTTGCGACGGTATCGCTACCGACGGTGCCAACGGTGTCTACGGATCTTACTCCATGTGCGATGCCGAAATCCGTCTCGGATGGGCTCTTACCCAATACTACGAATCTCAGAACAGCGCTGCTTCTGCCTGCGACTTTGACCGTCAAGCCAGAGTTGCCACCCCAACATCGCTCAACTCCACTTGCTCTAAGATGGTTGATGCCGCCGGTGGTACTGCCGGTAAGGCTCTCGGATCCACTGGCACCAAGACCGGAGAAAACAGCAGCTCCAGCGACAAGCCAAACGCTGGTTCCTGCCTCACTCCCCCAGCCGGTCTTAGCACCTTGGTTGTTCTCGTTGCCTCCTTCCTCGGTATGGGAATGATCATGTTGTAAACGGTTGTGTGTAAGTAGTATACATATAGAGCGCATGGTTTTATTTGATCCTTTTCATTTGTTGGTTTTTTTGAATCTGGGAACCGGTGCTTTTTAGGGTTCACGAGAGACAGAAGGGGAAAGAGAATTACATACAGCATGTCTGGTTAGCTTCCGAATATTTCATACAAAGGGACTAATCTAATCCAGAACACAAATGGAAAGAGAAAACAAAAAGAGGACTTGGGAATACAAATATTTGTAATGCTATTTCAAACACCAAATTAATTGACTTGTTCAAGCACCAAAACAGCCGGTCTCTTCTACTTTTTCTTTCCTGTATACTATCTTCTTCTTCTTTCTTCTCTCTCCTCTTTCCATTGGCAAGGCGTCTTATCTTTTTTATTATTGTTGTTGGACCTTCCCTTTTGCATATCGCATTTTCGCATATCAAAAGAATTGTTGTAGCGATTTCTTCTTTTTCTTCTCTTCTTCATCTTCATTTGTCTATTTTTTTGATACCTTTTTTCTTTTCTTTCTAACTTTCACTTCATTTGACTTTCATTTATTTCATAGCGTAGTACGAACAATCGTAGTTCTGATGTCCTGAAATACAAACCATACATACTTTTCAATCGTTAAACCATCTGCACTTAATAACATGAATCCTCGCGTGAAAAAACAAGCCTAGTCGCATCAGTAGTAACCGCGCGCTGGCGACCTGCATAACATAGTCCAATCCAATCCAATCAAGCTCAGTCGCATAAACTTCTTTTCCCTTCTCCAAACAAAAAAACCCTTCACCAAAGAGAGAAAAAAAACAACCTTCAACCATACCAATTCAACAATGCCGCCACGAACAACCTCTACAAAACCCGGCCGGACCGCATCATCATCATCAGCGGCAGCATACAATACCTCGAGTCCTCTCGCGAAACGGCAAAGAGCTGCCAATGTAACATCATCATCCTTACCATCATCATCATCGAAACAGACATCCACAAGTACGGGCAAACGTACCAGACGGCGACGAAAGCCTAGGACTGAGGGTATGTTTAATTTCCACCCTCTTTCTTTTTTTCACTTCACTTCTTTTCATATGATTACGATTCTATTTAAAGATATAATTAATCCGTCCCTTCTTCCCTTCTCTCCCCCTCTCTTCGATCTCGGGACGGAAGAGTGGAGGGGAAATGGGAGGTGGAGGAACGGGGACCTGCATATCTTTAATTTCCATTGCTTGTTTCTTTTCCGTTTCGTTTGGAAAAACTTTTAAAGTTGTTTTGTGAGAGGGAAAGACGAAGTCTGGGGAAATTAACGATTACGTTGATTCACGGGCTGTGCAAAAAAAAAAAAAAAAAAAAAAAAAAAGAAGACATCCAATACCAAAACCAACTTCCAAAGGAATGTAACATCGAATAATTAACTAACCAATGGAATTCCTTTTTTAGTTTCGAGTTCCGAAAGTAGCAGCGATAGTAGCAGTGATGAGGATAATGCCAGCAGCAGTAGCAGTGAAGATGAGGAAACTGCCGTGAAAAAGAAGGCGAAGGGACCGGTAAAGAAGGTCAAGGTAAGGGTGGTTATTTCCCTTTCAAAACTTCACGAATCCAATACAATTTGGGGGGTTTTATTTTATTTTATTTTATTTTTATTTTTATTTAGTTCCCCATGTGGAATGATGGGATTTCTTAGGGGAGATTTGGCTAATTTCTTTTTAACTGTCAATTATCGAGAATAGCAGGTTACAGTTCAAGCCGCGAAACCCGAGTCTGATAGCTCTGATTCTTCATCATCCTCATCGTCAGATGCAGAGATGGCAAATGCTCCCTCTTCCCCCAGCTCTTCCTCCGATAGTTCAGACGCCGACGAAGACGACGAAGATTCAGATTCATCAGATAGTTCAGATCCGGAAGATACCTCTTCAACCCCCAAGAAATCCAAACCATCCAAACCGGCTCCATCGACAACCTCCGCCCCCTCCATACCTCCACAGCTACGATCAATAACTACTTCTCAAACAGAAAAACAATTTGAAGAGTATTATATGAAGAAGCTGACGGAGGAGTTTGGAGAGGATCTTAATTCTGTTAGACAGAGTAAGGACTTTACGGACAGAAGTTTGCCGGTGCTGGTGAGGGCTTTGAGGGGCGGGGTGAAGGGGTTTGGAGAAGAGGAGATGGGTGTCGTTATCGCCTAGGTAGCCTATATCAATTTTTTGAATAGGACGGTGATAGTGCATACTATACCGATCTATGATATTGAACGATTGTTTACCGTTTTTTGAACTGTTATAAGGAAGGAATGGGTTATACATGTACGATATGGGAAATGTAAGAATATAGGCCGGCGTTTTTCAGTAGGAAGAGCATAGACACCCTTAATAGAATTGACTTTCCAATAATGATAATATTTTCAAGTAAAATCAAAAAGGATCTATAGATCTATAGATCAAATAGGTGGATCCTTAAGCTTCCCATCCTCATCAAAGTAGTCTGATGTTCTAAACACCCTCCTCAGACTCTTATCTCCCATATCAACTCCCTTCCAAAGATCCACCCGTCTTCCTTGGCTGATATTTCTCTCCTCCGACCTAACCAACTGCTCCGTTTTATCCAATTTGGTAGAGAGGTCTTTTATCTGTGGCGCAATCACTTGCGTCAACAGGTGCTATACATATATGTAACATAGGATAGTAATAGTATTAGTATGTACCTATGTAAGGATATAATAAAAAAATATAGAGAAAAAATACGAGAGACAAGTAACAAACCTCCAACCGATCGATCTGTTCGAATGTATGTTTCAACTCGACAGCGACGGGGATTAAAACCTCAGCTGTGGGTTCGATAACATTTGATACTTGGGATTGGATATCCTGCAGGTCATCCTTGTAGACTGTGTTCGCGGTGGTGTAAGAGGATAGTTTGTTGGTGTAGAATGTATCCTAATATAATATATTATAATATAATATAAAAAATCAGCCTTTGTACATCTACATCAACATCTACATCTCTATATCGATATCTGTATATACCGATATAGATAGATGTAAGATAGTAAACGTACGTGCGACCGGGCGGTGTGCGAACGGAGGAAAGCGGCAAGTTCGTCAGCCACCTCGGACGGGAGCTGGGAGATGTTGAATGCCGACGGTCGGTCGTGTTCTTCCCCGCCCATTATATTATATTGTACAGTCACACGTACACATGTACATCTATCGATGTTAATTGAATTGAATTTGAATAGATGTATCTGACTTGATTCGACTGATGTTAGAGACAGATAATAAACGTTGATGTCATGGAACTTAATTAAAAGGTTACTAGCTTACCAGATGCAGTTGGATTGTAGATGCATTGCCCAGCCGGGTAATCCACCGTGCCGCGAGGGAATTCCAGATCGTGTCAATTGATACCCGTTTCAGTCCGAGCACTGCACCGCCCGGCTTTTGGATGTATATGTATACTCTATACTAGTACTATGATATACTATCATCTACAATATTAATATTATAAGACTGTCTAGATGCCGCTGCTTCGAAGTACTTCTCTTCTCCTCTCTTCTCCCCTCTCCTCTGCATCCTCTAACTACATCGAATCAAGCAACTGACATCTGATACGATACCACAGCCGTTATCCGTCGCAAATCAGCTGCTGCCAATTGCTGCGCCATAAACCCAAGACGTCTGTCCAATTTCCAATTTCCCTCCCTTCACATCTCCATTATCACCTCTTAGCTTACAGGAGGTATTTTATATTATATATACTCAGGCAACTAGGGCTTGGTTGTATGCTGACAGTTGGTGGAAAACAGCTCCCGGATCTAGAAATACCTCTACTCTCCCAATACCTTTACTGAAATTTAACTTTCCGTCAAGATCCCATCTCTTCCATCTGCATCCGAAGCCCATTTCTGCAGCTGGAAGTCATCCGATTCGCAGGCATCGTTGTCCTGTTTCTGTTCCTGAATCGAGAAGAACAAGCAGTTTTTGCGCGACAACCTCACCCGCAACACCAAATTCACAACGCCAGACCCGCCCCTGCGCTCCTTCCTCTCCTTCTCTCTCCTCCTCTTCTCCTTCCTTTGGTAGAGCTGGTATATCGATAGCTTCGATATCTTCAGCTTCAAAATATCCTTTTCATTCTTATTCTTCTAGTTCTACACTTCTTCAAAAATTACCATTGTCGTATATATATACGCAAAGTATACCTCACAACTATAACTTCGGTCACCATCATCATCATCACCACCGTCATAGCTTCCACACCAAACCAGAAACACGCTCCCAAACCCAGTCAGGTTCCCCACACAGCACACGATCACATTACCCCGCGGGACCCACTTCTTCCTCATCCTATCCTTCATCTTCACCTTCATCCGATTATAACTATAATTATAATAATAAGCACAAGAAGAAAGACCAATCCTACTATTATCACTCCTACTCAACCGCCACTATCACAGCTACATCTACCTTCCTAGCATTGATAGGAATATACTCCGTCGCATCGGATTCCGATTCCAGTATCTACCATTATAACACCCTCCCAGCCGACCTAACTACTCTTCGCTCGCTACTCAACTGGTGGTCCCCGAGTCAATCCGATAATAGTAACACAAAGACCACAAGCACTGCTACTACCCCGCCACAAACCCCACCCCCCGCAGCAATGGCATCAACCGCCCCGGGCCGTCCCGAGACCCTAACACCCGAGCAAGAACTAAAGCTCAAAGAATTCTGGAACGTAACATTATCCCTCTTCGGCCAATCCGCCGCCCAACTCGAAGCCGCAGCATCGACATCTCTCGCCGAAGACACCGCTGCATTATCACTCGAAAACGCAACCGCTGAAACAACAGCTGCAGCTGCAGCAGACGAAGCAGAAACAGAACCTGCCGCTGGCGGCAAGTCGAAATCCAAACGTTCAAAAATCTTCAGCAGATCCAAAAAGGACAAGGAAAAGAAAGAAAAGGATAAAGACTCCAAGGATAGCAGCGTAAACAGCAGTAGGAGTAACTTGACAGTTCCAGAAAGCACCATTTCGAACCGTCCTTCCCCTCCACCGGGCCTGACCACAGACCCTGAGGATAAATACAACCAAGGCAAAGACTTCAAAGCCGCTTTGGCAAGCCAAACGCCTGAAGAACTCCGAACGACATTCTGGGGTTTCGTTAAATACGACAATCCAGATGCTCTTCTCCTTCGCTTCCTCCGCGCCCGAAAATGGGATGTAGAAAAGGCCTTGGTGATGATGGTATCAACGATGCACTGGCGCGGTCAGGAAGTCTACGTCGAAGATATTGCTCGTGAAGGTGAAGCAACTGCTTTCGCAGCCGAGAAAACGGACAAAACAGCAGAAGGGTTTATGAAACAGTTAAGGATGGGCAAGAGTTATATCCACGGAACGGATAAGGAGGAACGTCCTGTTTGCTATGTTAACGTCAGGCTACACAAGGCGGCCGATCAGACACCTGAGAGTTTGGAAAGGTATACTATTTACCTGATTGAGACGACAAGGTTGATGTTGAAGCAGCCCGTCGATACTGCTGCGATTGTATTTGACATGACTGGGTTCGGAATGGCCAATATGGTGAGTTTTCCCCCCTCCCTCGTCCTATTGAGAGAGAGAGTATCAGTATTAACCATGAACATCAGGATTACACACCCGTCAAATTCATGATCAAGTGCTTCGAAGCCCACTACCCAGAATGTCTGGGTATCTGTCTCGTCCACAACGCTCCTTGGATCTTCCAGGGTATCTGGGTACGCTCACCTCCCCACTCTTCTACCATCCAAAGAAACTAACCCGAGTCCCGCCCCCTTCTAGAAAATAATCCGAGGCTGGCTCGACCCCGTCGTCGCCTCCAAAGTCCACTTCACCACCAAAGCCACCGACCTAACCGAATTCATCTCCCTCGCCCAACTCCCCAAATCCCTAGGCGGCGACGAAGACTGGGAATACAAATACATCGAACCAACCGCCACCGAAAACCCATCGATAACATCCCCAACACCGGCAGATACAACCGAAAAGGAATCATTAGAAACAGAAAGATTAAGAATCATCGAAGAATATGAGAAAAACACCAGAGAGTGGATAAAAGAAGAATCAAAGGGGGCCAAGGTTGACACCGATGTTAAGGATGAAAGAAGCGGGTTGAGGGAACGGTTGAGGACGAATTATTGGGGGCTTGATAGGTTTTTGAGGGCTAGGACTTGGTACGATCGTGTTGGGATTGTTGGTAAAAATGGCGATGTGGAATTTTATCCTCAGAAGGATAATAAAGTGGAGGATACGAAGGAGAAGGTGAATGGTAATGGTGCTTCTGCTCCTGCTGCTGTTAGTGCACCGGCACCTACTTCGGATGATGATGAGCTAGATTAAACTTCCTATCCTATAGAAGGGGGGAGGGGGGCAAGCTAGTGTAGAGGTAAGTTGAGGACCATAATTTGGGGGGAGGGGGAGGGTTTCCCCGATAGATATCCCATATGTATTCTTCCAGCCGTCACAACAGGAGGACGTGTGTGTGTGACGAGAGTATAGTAATTTTCCATTTAACTAACCTCCTTACTAAGTATTTACTTACCTACTACTTCTTATAAAATACTTACTTATCAATATAAGTTTATGTTTTCTTTCTTGTGGCTTGTTTTACTCCCAGTCTCGACCTTTTTTTTTTCTTTCTACGACTCTACATCACTAGAAACCAACTACCATACGGTACCTACCTATATCCACATAGATATATCTATGTACCAAGTACCTGATAACTCTCCTTTTATGTATACTAATTAATAGATATTCTCTTATATATGGATTTAACAGATTAGGGGAGCCATTGAAAGAGTCTCCAAAGCAAGCATGTTGATCAAAACCAAGTCAAAAAAAGCTAGTTTTCTCACACTCGGATCCCATACCTATAAGATCGATCACAAGCTACGAATATCACTTAATATGGTTGGTTTCGAATTCTAAGTACTTTAAATTTAGGTCATTTGTATACTATAGTCTGAATTCTGGTCTTACTAAAATATCTTTAAAAAAAACCTCCTCCTCCTCTTTCCAATCTGAAAAAAATACACCATTCTCTTCCGTACTTTTCTTCATATATCATAAGACGTACAAAGAAATATCTTTCGTTCAAGACCGAAAAAAAAAAACCCCGGGATGAAACAAAAACAAAAAACAAAAGAACTTTGCTCATGAATTATAAAGAAAAAGTTAAAAGAAGAAAGAAAAATACCTACAAAAAAGGGAAAAATATTGACAAAGGCCACAACGAGCAAGCAAAGTGGATATAATACTTGTAAGACAATACACAGTGAGAGAGAGATAATAAAGAAAGCGACGACTGTGTCCTGTCGTCATAATACATCAACTGAGTCGTGGTAGTTTGTAGTTTAAAGGGGTATTTCATCTCCAGCCTCTCATCGTCTTCATCATAGCTCTTCCTGCGTAGTTTTTTAAAAATATTTACGCGGAAGCAGCAGCTTCCTTAGCCTTCTTGGCCATGGTGTTCAATGCAGAACCGTTTCGGAACCATTCGAGCTGGCCCTCGTTGAAAGTGTGGAGGAGGTTGGTGCTCCACGACTTGCCGTCGGTGGACTTGAAGGTAACCTTGAGTGGCTCGCCGACCTTGAGGTTGCTGAGTTCCATGTCACTGTAGCAAATAGTTAGTTTTTTATGTGCATATGGATGGTTTATGTATTAAATGAAGGGTTACTCACAGCTTGTCGTCGGTCTTGATCTTGTCGTAGTCCTCTGGGTTCTCAAAGGTGAGAGGAAGCATACCCTGCTTCTTCAAGTTGGTCTCGTGCTGTTATCGAGGTAATTAGCATCCCTATTTATTTTGATTTGGAAATATATATATGCATATGTATATATTGCGAGTGAGCTACTTACGATACGGGCGAAGGACTTGGTGATGATGGCAAGACCACCAAGATGTCTGGGCTCAAGAGCGGCGTGCTCACGGGAAGAACCCTCACCGTAGTTCCAGTCACCAACGACGGCCCACTTGACGCCTCTGGCCTTGTAGTCGCGAGCGGTAGCTGGGACGGCATCGAATTCACCAGTGAAGATGTTCTTGATGGAGTTGGCCTTCTCGTTCTCGGCGTTGATGGCACCGATCAACATGTTGTTGGAGATGTTGTCCAAGTGGCCACGGTACTTGAGCCATGGACCGGCCATAGAGATGTGGTCGGTGGTGGTCTTGCCCTGGCACTTGATGAGAATTGGAACATCAGTGGCATCCTTGCCATCCCATGCGTCGAATGGAGAAAGCTTCTGGAGACGGTCGGAGGTAGGGGCGACCTGGACTTCGACGGTGGAGCGGTCGGCTGGTGGGGCCTGGTAGGTATCTTGGCCAGGGTCGTAGCCACGCTCTGGAAGAGCAATACCGGTTGGTGGCTTGAGCAAGAACTCATTGCCATCCTTGTCCTTGAGCTTATCAGTGAGGGGGTTGAATCGGAGATCACCAGCGATGGCGAAGGCGGTTGTCAGATCTGGTGAGGTGACGAAGGCGTGGGTGGCAGGGTTGGCATCGTTACGTCCGGTGAAGTTACGGTTGTAGGAGGAGACAATGGTGTTGGCTTCACCCTTCTTGACGTCACGACGATCCCATTGACCGATGCATGGACCGCAAGCGTTGGCCAAGACCATACCGCCGAATTCCTCGAAGGTCTGGAGCTGTCCGTCACGAGCAATGGTGGCACGGATCTGTTCGGATCCGGGTGTAACAGTGTACAGAGACTTCGCCTTGATACCGTGGTCAAGGGCATCCTGGATGATGGAGGCAGATCGGGACATATCTTCGTAGGAGGAGTTTGTGCAAGAACCAATGAGGGCGACCTTGACATCAGTGGGCCAGCCTTCCTTAACGGCAACATCCTTGAGCTTGGAGATTGGGGTAGCAAGATCTGGGGTGAATGGTCCGTTGACGTGGGGTTCGAGCTCAGAAAGGTTGATCTCAATCAATTGGTCGTACTCGGCACCTTCGTCTTCACGGAGTTCGTGGGAGTAGGCACGGGCGAAGTCACCAATAGCCTGTCTCTTGGTAGCCTTGAGGTAGTCGTACATGCGGTCGTTGAAGGGGAAGATGGAGGTGGTGGCACCGATTTCAGCACCCATGTTGCAGATAGTTCCCATACCAGTGCAAGACAAGGATTCAGTACCGGGTCCGTGGTATTCGACGATGGCACCGGTACCACCCTTGACGGTGAGGATACCAGCGACCTTCAAGATAATGTCCTTAGGAGCAGTCCAGCCGCTCAGCTGGCCAGTAAGCTTGACACCGATAACCTTTGGAGCCTTAAGTTCCCATGGGAGACCAGCCATAACGTCGACAGCGTCGGCACCACCGACACCGATAGCAGCCATACCGAGACCACCGGCATTGGGGGTGTGAGAGTCAGTACCGATGAGGAGAGCACCTGGGAAAGCATAGTTTTCAAGAACGATCTGATGAATGATACCAGAACCTGGCTTCCAGAAACCGATGTTGTATTTTGCGCAAGCAGTCGACAAGAAATTGTAAACCTGGATTATCACATGTCAGATATTTCCAAACCAAACCAAAAAAAATAACAAAATGAAAAACAACGAGAAAAAAAAAATAACCTCTTTGTTAATATCCTCAGCACGGCTCAAATCCTTAGCACCTCCAAGCTGGGCCTCGATCAAATGATCACAGTGGACAGTGGATGGAGTTTGGACCTGATCCATTCCGGCGCTCATGAACTGCAGAATGGCCATCTGAGCAGTCGCATCCTGGCAAGCTACTCGATCGGGTCGCAACTTCAAGTAAGACTTTCCACGTTCGATTTCCTGGGTCTCTGGTTCGTCAAGATGCGAATAGATGACCTTCTCGGCAAGTGTGAGTGGCTTGTTGTTCAGCCTCCGTCGGACAATGCTGAGGTTCTCGCTCATCTTCCTTTAAAAAATTCACGTGATTACGTCAGAATATTGCAACAAGTTAAACAATTAAAAATAAAAAAAAGTAAAACCGGTGTAAAAAGCATACTTGTAGTTAATGTAGCTTCCCTAAAAGAGACGATAACAATGTTAGCGGGACCGGAATAGATATATAAAATATGGCAATGACAATGATAATAATATCAATTGGCTTGCGAGTGAGAGATAATTTACCTTTTCCCAGTTATTCTGGTTGACCTTCTTGTCCAGAGGGGAGTCTGTGACGGTAGCCAGGCCTCGAAGCCTTTGAGCCTGTTTGTTACAAAGCTAGTAGTTAGAGACATTTGTTTCTTCCCCAATCGCCATAGAGAGTAGGCATTGCGCCTATGGCTGTGGCAGTCCGGTGGAAAGAGGGTTTTTTGTAGAACATACGGTTTTGAAGCCGGCATTCTGTGGGTAACATCGGCAAGGTCAGCAAAATCGCTCGTTTTTGAAAAAAATTTAAAATTTTTTTGAAGAAGAGAGAAAAGATTGAAGACTTACCACCTTGCATGCCCTGGGAAGGGCCCTCACTGTTGACAGCATGGTGGCTACAATGTGAGGAGAGTGATTGTGGGAGATGGAGAGGAGTGTGGGGGTGGGGTATGACGATGGTGGTGGTCAGTTAGTTAGTTAGGAGGGAGAGAGAGGGAAGAAGTGGCAGTGGTGGTGGTGGTGGTGATAAGGAAGTGTATCCAACACAAATATCACAGCATGAACACACACACAACAGCAGCAAGAAAAAGAAGGATTAAACCGATGAAGCTGGAGATGATGGAGAAGAAGAGAGGAAGAGAAGAAGAAGAGAATGAAAACCGGGAGTGGAGGGGAGAAATTGGGAAAAGAAGTAGTCGAGGACCTGGACGAAGGGAAAGAAGCAAAACCGCTGCCGAGTTGGAGTTTGGGCTAAGCACAATGAGGAATCTTCCTGATAACCGACGGCGACCAGTTTTTTTTCTTTCTTTGACGGTCAAACTATCAAACTGCCATTCGGATTAATTATATTGTTAATTGGTTTTTAAAATGACATCAGCCTTATATCACCGTGCTTCACTACCCTTTTGCCTACAAAACTACACCTCTTCTACAGTGTTTATATGATATGGTTCAGTATGTTGAATACTGTAGTGTAAGTATGTAAATAGATAGATAAACCACAGATACCCGTCGGCTACACGTGCGGTAATCCTCTCCTTCTGGACATATCTCCTGCTGTCCTGGGCCTTACCTGCACCTGGGCGAACGGCACTGGCTTCAAATCCGAATCACCAGTCTTCCCATTGGCCAGCCTTCTTTTTCCCTTTTCCCAAAATAAAATAAAATAAAATCTGAAAAGAAAAAGGTTTGGTTTTTAATGGCGCAAAAAGGCTAAGCCCAAAACTGCCACCAAACCCCGGCAAACTGGTCTGGAGACCATGCAAAATTTTTCCCTTACGATTTTCCAGTTTCAAACATCCTCGGCTTCGATCCGACCTTTCTTTTTTACTTCATACTAATACCGTCCCTCCGTATACAAGAGTGATAAAAGACTCGCGACAAGGGCGAGACGTGCTTAAATCGCTCTTCCTCGTTTTCGGCCCGTGTTCAGGAATCCTAAGCGTTTTCGGTCCTGACATCTGACCGTCGTTTTCCGAATCTATCTTCTCCCTCTGCTCTCTCTCATATACATCCCCATACATCCCCCATCCATCCATCCATACATACATCATGGGCCCACAACGGCTAATGAAGACTAGGAACAGGACTCGGTAAGTCTAAGTATTTCATATAAATACTAAACTTTATCCATATTTATTCTGAAGGATTGGTGATTGATTGATTGATTGATTAAATATAGCGACCTCGACCAAATCTCATCCGACATCCTCCAACCCCGCCGTCTGGAACAGCACCTCTCAACCCTTCCCCTCGAAGAACTCCCCGCCCTCGGTCAACTCTACTGCACCCCTTGTGCCAGATTCCTCGAATCCCAACATGCTCTAGCTCATCATCAACGTTCAAAAACTCACAAGAAGCGATTAAAGCTCCTCAGGGAACCTGCCTACTCCCACGAAGAAGCAAATGCTGCCATCGGCCAGGGTATAGACAACGGAATCGCTACTTTCAGAGTCAACCCGGAAGATGTGATCAACCGTGTCAGTAGGGATAGAATCCTGGCTCTTAAGAAGGCTCCGACGGCGACGACGGGGAGAGCTGAGTCTTTGGGTTCTGAGATGGATGTTGAAGTCGAGCATCAGCAGATGGATGCGCCTCCTCAGCTTGTCCAACAAATTTACGACGATGACGATAATGACTTGTAATCCTCTTTATCATCCGCTAATTCCTCATTAGATCATTCCCTTTTGTTAATGATGGCGTGGAGTTAAGGAGTTCTTTTAATTTTTAGAGGGAATTGTATACTACCAAAAAGTGCTTCTATCATATGCAATACGAATCTACATGCTATACAATATACAACCAATGCTATATATAAAAACACCGTGATGCCTTTTAAAACAAAGAAACTAATGCTCTGGATATTTACAAACCATCTTTTGTTCGTTAACTTCAAATGCAATTGCAATTGCTCGAGGTAGGTATTTAGCTAAAGAAAGAAAGAAAGAAAAAATAGCTAACCTCTCTTCCCCGTCACCGCCATCACAATGCTCGAATCCACACTGATCCTCCCCACCACCCATGCGGGCCACCAGACACACCATACCACAATGGGAGTCCACATACCCCAGACCCACCATCCAAAACTCGCCTCCTTGAGAATATCCTCCACTCCTAACCCCCAATACCCCGCAACGACAAATAACGCCGCAAACGGACTGGTAAGCTGCAAAAGTACACTATTCACCAAAGCCAATGGCACCGAATCTGGCGTCGTCCTAGCGAACATCAGAGGTAGTGAGAAGAGGCCGATTAGGAATGATAGTGAGAAGTTTAAGGTTGCGAGAGTCGAGAGGAACATTCCTAGGAATAAGAGGGAGAAGCACCGGGAGAGGTGGAAGGCTGGGAGGAGACGGTGCGGGGAGGCTGTCAGTGTGATAAGGATTGATATCAAGGTCGGTAGGATGACGGAAGCGGCAATGAAGATGTAGAAGACGGATGACATGGACTATATATTATCCTCATAACGTCAGTGAGTGGGACGTCAAAGATATATATCAGGGATGGGATGATACGGACCTTATAGTCGACTGAATTGAACACTGCGAAGGGAATGACACCACAGAAATGCACACCAATGACAATGGACATTGGCAAGAACAGCTCTCTCTTGGGCCCGCCATTAACAGCAATCACTTCACCTTCCTTCACTTTTTCACCTTTCTCACCCTTCTCACCCTTCTTCTCCTCCTTTTCCTCCACCTTCACACCCGCCTCCCCACTCCGACTCCTCGGATCAACCCACAACCTAATCGCCGTCAACGTCAACCCCACAGCCAACAACATCGCCGCCGGCAAATAAGTCCCAATACTAACAAACCTCTTCGGCGCCATCAACAAATAAAAGAAAAAACTCTGATGAAAATGTTCCAACAAGTTATTCAAACTCCTAAACACACTCTCCACCGTCCTCCCCAACGACCCTTCATCATGCCATCCACCGTCCCCATGAGTAGCAAGCGTAATAGCATCGATATGGTACGGTATAAAACTCGAATGAGGTCCCGTAGAATGTCCCAAAGCTTGATTCACCATCCCCCTCAACATAGTCTTAAGCCTATGTCTATACCCATCATCATGATTCCACATCTCCTGCAAATCCGTCCTCAACCCCATTTGATCCCTGGATATCTGTACCGCCGTATTAATCAAATCCAAATTCGGTAACTGCCCATTAATCCCATCGTATAAAATATGCAACGACTCAAACCGATGATAAGCTCCAGGATAATCCACAACCACAACCCCTTGTATAGCCCCACTCTTCACCGAAAGCGACTGAATATTCTCTCCATGCAAATCATGATACGCATCAACCCAAGCTTGAGGTCCAGCCCGAGCATCAGAAGATATTAAAAATATAATATCCTTAGACCATAATGACCATCTTTTGAAATATCGACTTAAGGCAAGGGTAAGTGCCACCCCGCCTTCGTTGAGTAGATGGTCTATATTCCTCCACGGGGCGCATAGAACAATTGCTTCGGTTGCATCCCCACGTGGGGCGTGTAATACCGCGTAGACGTTTTCGCCGGTATATTCCCCTCCGGCAGCTTTATAGGAGTATCGTTGTTTACCGACTTTAAGTCCAGCGGAACGGAAGATTTCGGCCATTCGTTCGGCGACACTGTATTCCCACAACCCTCATTAGATTCGAACCCAATCAAATTGGACACAAATAACAAGAAAAGGAAAAAAAAGGGGAAGACGTACACATCAGAAGTACTATTCCCTAACAAATCAACCTCCCTCCTAAACGCCCTAACGATATTCTGCTCGCTCCCTCCAAAGTACGCGTGGACCTGTCCCGGTAACAGTGCATTTTCGGAAATATACGTTCGGCGGGAGTACTCGTCCAACGGTAATAAAAACAACGAAGCAAGTCCGACAATAACGGCGAGGATACTGAGTCCCTGGAAGGCGTAGAGCACCACGGAGAGGTTCTTGCGGAGGTTGACGGGGACTGGTTTGGCATTAATAGACTTGTTAGCATTATTTGATGGAACCGATTAGGGGGCGGGGGATATATATGTAGGGATTGGGGATAAGAACTGCATACCCCGCAAGGCCATCGTGGCGGTTGTGTCGTGGAATCTTCAAGGGTGGTGAATCTGGGGGGGGGAAAGAGAGTGGGTTTGGGAAGAAAGCGAACGGGAAGCTGGTGCTGGGTGCTGTTCAACCTTTGGAAAGACGTGCCCTGAATGCCAAGCCGGATTATGTGTAACCATCACAACGCATCTTAACCTCAAAACTCCAACAATGTCACGGGTGCACGTTTCGTGACGTATAATAACGTTATACGATTTCAGCTACTCCACGCGTCTTGATACCCAATTGCACAAAATAAGTCCTGGAAGATGATTATTTCAGGCCTAATCTAAAATATTATGCTACTCCTCACTTCTACAACATCAGAATAATATAAACAAGTTTACGAGACAATAAACAACAAGTCTTTAACTTCCAAAAATGCACCTCTACATCGAAATCCAAGCCACAATCCCCTCCCGCGCCATAACCTTCTACACCACAATCTTCCCCTCCTGGTCCTTCCAAAAAGACGACTCCCTCCCCATAGAATACTACCGCGGCACCCTCTCCCAATTCTCATCTTCCTCATCACCACCAGCAACAGCAATCAACATCCTAAAACGTCCAGTACCACAAACCCCAGATCCAATGCAAGGCACAAACGCATTCGTATGTTCCTTCCCAGTTGAAGACGAAACCGCCTTCGATATCTTGCAAGGCAAAGTATTGGAACTCGGAGGAAAGATTGCTATGGAGAAGTTCCCTGTGCCTGGGAGGGGGTGGCATGGGTATTTTTTGGATACGGAGGGGAATACTTTTGGGGTTTTTACTACGACTTATAGGGAATGAATGGCTTCTCTAAGAATATATATTTTAGGGGGGGGATGAATGGGTCAACAAACTACAAGAGAGATTGAAAGAAGTTTGAAATATTTAGTGATCACTGGGGTTTATCCCTCCAAGCCAGCCCGCAATTTCTCTAAGACCACATTCTATGTATTTACCAAAATGATTAGCTACAAATTTACTAGCCTCGAGGCCACAAATGTCTCTCTAATCAATTACAAAACAAAGTAATCTTTCATGCAATTTATAAAATAAAAATGTAAAGTCAGTCGAAGAGGGTTATCAAGTAGCCCCCCCATCTGGTTCTCGTTAAACCGTATTTATATAAAGAGTGAAGCACACGATACCATCACCAGGTATAGTTCTACGTATATACTTATATATAGATACGGGTGGCTATAGCTATAAGTCTTTGATCTAGAATCTAGATACTAAAATCCCCACATGCACACCCCCCCTATATATAAACGCGGACCGCGCCTCTGAAGCTGCAATAAATTAAATATTAATACGAGACTACCTAGTAATAACTACCCAAACTAAAATCAACTATGCATACTAACCAAACGCCACACAACAGAAGAAAAGAAAAAAGACGAGTCTCCTCCTTTAATTCTATCCTTTATAATTAACATCCATAGAGCTGCCCCGATTGAAACCAAAAATATCAATACTATATATACACTCACAACAATATATACAATCCACCAAACGTCTTCTTCTAAGTTTAGAACAGCTCCAACTAAGTATCTAACCTCTAGCTCTCTTAGCAGCCGGTATATATAGCCCTATCTACAAGCCATAGTACTAAAAAGCCCCCCCCCCCCCCCCACAC